TTATTTACGGCAAATAATACGGCACATGCCGTAACCGTATTATTTCTGTTTGGGAATTCCGACGACAAGTATAATAACGATCTTTAAATAAGAATTGTTCAAATAAAATGAAACAAATGAAACAAAAATAAAAGCAAAATAAATAAATTTTTATTCGAACCATTAGTTTAAGATTGAACAAGAAATTATGTTACGAATAGAATCATTGCTTAATTGCAATTTTAGCTGCTTGTTTTTTTTTTGCAACATTTGATTAAATCTAGATATCTATGATTTAATTTGTTGGAGAGAGGCTTTTATTTCATTATTTTCAGCATGCATTTGAAGATTTTTCAACATATCATCTGAAACTTTAAAAAAGTGAAATGACACTATGAGTACTTCACGTGAGAAAGAATTCTATTAAAAACAAACATTAAAAAACCTAGTTTTGGCGCATATAGCATAATAAGAATTCCTTAATTTATTTATTCCCATTACTATATTCAGGAATTAAAATTGTAATTAACTCTGATATTTATATTATTTTTTTTTACGAATATAAAAAAAAAGATTTTTTTAATAATTTTAGATGTTAAAAATATTTAACCTTTTCACTTCTTTTCAATAAACATAAATGCTAACAATAAAAACAACAGCACGCATTTTTACTTGAACAACGGTAGGAACCTTTAATTTAAAATATCCATAATAATAAATAAAATAAATAAAATTTATTAATCATGCAATTAATCGTGCAGGAGCTGTAAATCAAGCAAAAAACAACAATTATAGAAACAATAACCATCGCAGTACGAGCAATTTAACTACAATGCCAAAAATAATGGCCAGGCCAAGTAACGCTGTTACAGCAGATGAAGGTTTAAAAACTGAATACTCGTCATTGTTAGATAATTCATCTAGTCATAGCAACAGCAATTATGGAAATAAGTCAACATCAGCAGTGGAAGATCAATTAAAGACAATTGCTGGTTTCCAAGACCCGGGATAAATTCTTGTTGTCCATCATCATTTCGTGTTGATTGGAATGTGTTATCACCAAGTATAAAAGAGTTTAAAGGCGCTATTATGAATCCATGGCTGTATTATTATATTGGCATATTTTTCCTATTAAACATCATACATGGAATATCTTTCGGTAATAATAATGGTATATGGGGGAAAATACATTCGGGCAATGTCCAGTGACACTTAACAATAAACTCTACAAACGTGTGATTATTAAGTGTCGTTCGCATGTATGTATGTTTAATAATTAATATTAAGTTTTTTAAAAACAAATTAGGAATAGCAGCGTTTCATCATCACAATCAAAAAAACAATGACAAGTATATATGTATATATTTGGAAAATATAGATATGTTGGCATGATGATGTTTTTTACGAGGTAGGTTATATAGTTATAATAGATCAACTTTATTTAATTAATTGGCTAATGATCTGCGTCTTTATCAATAAAGTTGCATTATTTCAAAAGTCATAAATTCGGTTGGCGGTAAATTCCAAGGTGGAAATGGTACAATGATCATATTATGCAAGTATTTTTTTTAATTAGTTTTGACATAACTTTCAATTTTAGTTTGACTTTCGCCCCCTTCAAAATAGTTTTGGCGACCAACAATATTTTAAATCGAAAATTAAGCCAATATAATCAACATCAAAATTAGAATATAACAAACATAGTTGGTC